AGATGAGGAAGAGACTGACTCCGTCGATGGGGTGGAGGATGAAGATTGCGGTAGACCGCTGGTTGCTGAGCTCGTCTCTGAGCTTATTGAAGAGGAGGCAGACGATATTAGTGAAGAGGCTGTCGATGGTGGTGCGCTTCCTGTAGGTGCATCTGTGGAATCCTCGTGCGACTCTGTAGAGAAACTGAAGCGATATTAAGCGTTATAAACTCCAATATTCTCACAATAGTGTCGTACCTTGAAGAGGACTGGAAGCTGGTGGATGAACCATTGAATGGTGAATCAAAATGTGAAATAGGAGTACTAGAAGTAGTAGTAGGGACAGGCAGTTCAAAAGAAGGGCTCGTTTCTCCCTGGCAGAAAAGTGGAAGTTAGAACGTTTCCTACATGAAACGGGTGAAAGCGAGTGGAATCACTTACAGCACGTCGTTGAGCAACATCTCTATGGGGCGACCGGTACCATACGGAGGGCATGACGAACTGCTCTCTGCATAAACCCACGACAGAATTAGAAACAATCCAAAGCGTCAACTAGACAAGAGCGGAGAGCATACACCTTATGGTTGTCTGAGGCCGTCGCCTGAGATGTAAGCGTCACTGGCGAGCGGAAATCTATAACTTAGTGAGAAATACAAAGAAAGGAGAGAGAGAAGAGGAAGAAGGAGAGCAAACGGGGGAATGGCAACGCTTAGACAGACTCTAGAAGTACCCACTGCACAGATGTTTTAGCAAGCTCTGATGTCAGGGTGCATCGATGATGGTCGCAAGGAACGCCGCTGAGACCAGCTCGGTCCGGGCTTCAATCGAGGGAGTAGGGCGACAGGTGCCTGTGACCACCAGTGCTGTTTGTGATAAGAAGCAGATGGCTGCAACGCCAGTAGAGGGCATCGCTGGTGATGCCGGCTTTGATAGGAGCTGATCTGTGCAGACTTAGGTGAGAACGCTTGGGATCAGAGACGAATGCCGGATGGCGACGAGAGCTCACTTCGGATTTACCACAGTAAGCAAGGGCAGGGGCGAGGACGTTCGGGATGAGAGGTAGAACGTCGGGAGGCCATCATACTCTGATGTTTGAGGCCAAGGTAGCTAGATGAAACTGCACGTATACCTACTAGACGCTCGAGACTAAGACGCATCAGCAAGTTACTTGTTATTACTGACACAACACGACAAAAATATGTAATACTCACCAGATCTGAATCCTTTTGCTGTCAATCACACTGTTCGTGAATGCTGCAAGAAATACATTGCCAGAAGGGATTCATAGTCGCTACAGGATGACCCATAGGGATTAACAGTACAGAGCTATATAATACGCAACTTGACGTTGCCAACAAAGTTACGCATAGGTTACACCATGCAAACCATTCTATAACAATGTTGCCCGTGAGCTCTACGTGAGAAATAGATCGAGGAATTAGGATAGAACACACTTACCTACTACACCCGCACGCTTCCTCATCGTGATCCGCATCCTGCTCATCTGATTCTACCGTCAATGCTCAAGGCACTTGCTGTTCTACGAAGAGTTGGACGAGCCCACACGTCCCAAATTTTCAATTTATTTTCCTCTGGAACTGCCAGGACAATCTTCTGTCCGTTCGGGCTGAGCAGGCTGCCAGCGATGTTGCTGTTGGCACCAGGCAGCGTGACAACGTGTCGTAAGCTAGGATAAGAATGCACGACTACGGAGTTAGAGTAAGGTGAAGGGATAGGATCATTTTCGATGAGCTGCAGATCTTCTGTGTAAGTTTGAGGTGCCGGGGTAGTCTTCCCAGGCCCATGAGTGCTCAGGATCTCCTTGCAATGTGATGAAAAGTGAAGAGATGTAACAGGTGCGTCCAGTTCAATCTTGTCGGGATGTGGGGATTGATACATGGATGAAGTGGAGCCGCCGACAGTCCATACGCGGATTGTTCCTGTCTTCTCTGGGGTAGAGTCGCCCGTGGCGAGAATCTTGGTTTGCCATGGGCACCAAGCGAGAGCCTAGTAAACTCGAGGTTCAGCAGTGAGCATACAAACAGGGGAGAAATATTTACCGTAACAGCCCCTGTGTGTTGGATCTTTCTACGTCTTTGGACCATATCTCCCACCTGCTCAACGGGTACGCCTGGATGGCGAATATCCCAGACAAATACCACGCCTGTTTCATCTCCGCTAGCATACAACTTGCCCTCAGTATTCCATGCGAGACTAGTTATCTTCGCCTGATGTCTTGTGACACGCTTTATTGTCTCCTTTGACTTCGGTGTCCTCGAATCGTAATGCTTGATGGTGCCCTTCTGCAAACCAACAGTGACCATATGGCCGTTCCACTTCATGACAGACGCCCCGGTAGCTTGCCATGCAGCAGTGTTCTTCTTCGCAGATATATCCCATATCTGGATGCACCCCGTGGAGGTGCCGGCTGCAACGGTATTGGGCTGGTCTTTACCGGCGCATTCGAGAAAACGAAGGTCGCCTACGCTCTCCTTGAGCTTGCACAGCTGGGCAACGTCTTCGTTAGTTGTAAGGTTCTTATAGTGTACCCTATTTCCGCGACCGAACACCAGCACGTTGTTCACGGACCAACTTACGGGCCACGTCTTGGCCGCTTCATCGCCTGTCGCGGTCGCGAAGAAGTCAATAAAGACCTTTCCAACACGCATGTTATGCATAGCTGAAGTCTCGGGGTACGTCTGGACCGCGGGAGATTCCGACCTGTGTGACCGTAGGTCAATGGAACTGACAGATGTACTCCGCATCAACGCCATTCTGCCGCGCAGCGCCTCTTCGACCTCTGGAAGGCGTGCTGTATTCAAATCCGCGTATGACGAAGCTGCACTAAGAAGACGGGGCCTCATGGTGTTCTTATATGCCCTCTTCTTTGTTGGAGACCGCTGAATGGGTGTTAGCGCATAGTTATATGAGAACCAAGTACGCGGCGCTCACCAGTAAGCTAAACGAAGATACGGACACGAACGACTCGTCCCCCAATCCAGAGAACGAGGTGGACCCAGCCAGCCTCGGCCTTTTCACCTCCTCAACATCAAAGTCCGGTTCAGAATCGTTGACCGACGAGATGGTGCGCTTTCTGGTCAGATCTTCACGCGTCGGCTCAGGGGGAGTGAGAGGTCCGCTACTGCTCGTACAAACGCGACACAAAGGACGAAAAGGCACATTAGAGCTTCCATACTATATGTATAGACTGTTTACGCACCTTGAGCTTGAACCCGAGGATTCAGAAGAAAGTAGGGGCATCGCGACACGGGAGAGAGACGAAAGAAAGAGACGCTGACCGGGGGGAGAAACAGCAGTGACGGGTGGGTTTTATTGCCACGAGCCTGAGATCGGATGATGTATCTGAAGATCTTGATCGTGCCGTTGTCGCGCTATTGTCTCGTCGTCGGTAAAGCCAAGTAATGGTCCAGGAAGTATTGGACGTGAAGAAAAAGGACAAAATTCGCGAAGGGCAGCGGGGGGATAGCGCGTATCGAAAGATGGGCCAGTTCAACAACTTCGCATCAATTCCGTGTGATGCGCACACCGCAGGCCTTCGGCGGCCAGTAAGGCCATGATATGACGAAAGCTTTTGTCAGAATCAACAAAGAAACCGACTTTGCTGCAAGGGACATTATTTCATGGAGGGCGAGGCCGCGTAAAAGAGTGTGCTGTGCTTTGTTTGGAATACCGAGCTGTATCTACTACAACTTCCATAATAGGACAGATCATGCAAACAAGATCCCATCGGGCGTAGAGACAAGGGCGAATCATATCTGACTGTTTGCAACCCTTCTCTCAACCACTAACTTCTCCCTGAAAGTTAAAGTCACTTACAGACCAAACTACATCTCGCAAGAAAGATGAGCAAGTCACAGTACTACCTATCCCAGTGCGCCGAGGTGGCCGCCAAGAGCCCGATGTGCTTCACCCTCGGGGCTGTCATGGTCAAGGGTGGAAAGATCATTTCGACAGGCTACAACCACTACCGCACTCATTATGACGGCAATGACCTAGGCGCACATGGACATCGCAAGGTAAATGGTCATCTGAAACTAGCGTTTTCAAATGACTCTTACATGCAATATTGTAGCCGGTTTCTATGCATGCGGAGATGCACGCTATTTACAGTTTCACTGGCATGTCCCCCTCGTTCAAGTCGCAGGTTCAAGCCCTTCAACGACAAACGACGTGCGAAAAACCGCACAAATGGTGTAAATTATGGACGAAACCAGGCAAAGGGTTCAAAGTCAAAGCATGAGTCCCTCTCGACTCCTCCGAGTCAGCACAATAGCCCTACTTCCGCTGCGGACCCGGGAGACGATGACTCCTGCAGTGGCGAAGTTCTCACCTGCGACCTAGCGTTTCACATTAAGCAGCCTGGGAAAGGTTGGAACGCTCGCCGTAGGGTGTCCCGAGTCAACGGAGCGGATATCTACGTCGCCAGAATCACGAAGAATGGAATGGGATCCGCGAAGCCGTGCTGGCGATGTCTCGAGTGGTGTCTGTGGGCAGGGGTAAAGCGGGTGTTTCATTGGAATAGCGATAAGGAGAGGTTCGATGCTGTGAAGGTGAATGGTGAGAGTCGAGAGAATTATCAGACGAGGGCGGACATGCGTCTCTTCTCTGGAAGGGTAAGCGGCTTAAATATATCTTCTACATAGAGTGGGACCTAACATTCATCGCAGAATCTACGTTGACATACTTATCTTGTATGTACAATCTAGTTTACCCATTGCACGTGCAGTTTAAGTCATTCAATCCATGTCTCGCTAACATATACACATCAGTCCCACCCTAAATGCCTACAGCGCCAGATCCCTTTCGTTATTTTCAGCATCTACTAATTGCTGAAAGATCAGAAGGCGGTTTCCTTATCCTTTTTTAAATACAAGTGGTTGTTAACGATCCAGAGCACATTTACAACATATTGTTTGGGGAACTGGTAATGCAGAGTTCCGCGGTTCGAGAAGATGATAGAAAATAATGGATGTATATTACATACATGCCGTGTACCATAAGGCACTATAGCCAAGTGGTTAAGGCGATTGATTAGAATTGATCAGCCTATACGGTTGGATTAGTCATCAATTCCACTTTGTGGGCGCAGGTTCGAATCCTGCTGGTGTCGGTTGTTTTTGCGCGCAATAAGTACTCTAGTAGAGTATCGGAGTAACAGAGATGGTCTTGGATCTGTTCGCTCCCACGGAGCTGATGCCGTGCATCTACATTTCTATTCATACAGACCAAACTAACCGCGAATCCACGAGGGGTTGATTAGACGATAATCCTATATATCCTTTCGTCGTGTATTGATGAAAGATCTTGTGCTTACTTGTAGTTACCCCAAGCTTACCGACTGATGTAACGCTAGATCTGAAACAACCCACAGCCACACTCATGATGAAGACTGAGCAACTTATTGTTGCATATATATAAGTATTTAGGAAGGGGGTATATAACCTGCAAGAAGGATAGGGGCCAGAGAGAGCATACATAATGAAGGAGTAAAACTATGCGCAGAACAAGCTTTCGACAAAACCCACCATCCGAGGATCTACTATAATCACCCAGTCTACACACCCTCCCCGTCCTCAACCTTCACACATGTAAACGGAAGATATAATACTTAGAAGCCGGCAGCGAGAGCAACGGCAGCCACGCTAAGCAGGGAAGCAATAGTACCGACACCATTGCCTGCACGAATGCTAGCTGCACCACTGCTTCCGCCGAGAATACCATCCGCCAAACTTCCAGCAGCCTGAACAGCGCCGTTCAAGAAGCTCGCGCCGCAAGTCGACTGAATAGCTTGATAGAGCGCAGTCTGGCCAGAGAGGAGGATGCTGCTGGCAAGACCGGGTGCGTAGGCAAGGTCGGACTCGAAGGAGATGTACGAGGTGAGGATGGAGCGGGTGCACGAAACGCACAGCTTGTCCTTGGATAGGGTAGGCTGGAGGAAGAGGAAGGCTGCGTTGCTCGACTTTAGAGTGTCAAAGTTGGGTGCGAGAGTTTGCTGTGAACCGGTGTAGAGGGAAGATGCGGCGGGAGGGGTACCGAGGGACTGAGCACCGCAACGGTTGCCAGAGTCATCTTGGGAGCACATAGACTTGTAAAGGGGATAGGTGATGTAGAGGACGTCATAGATCTGGACGACTTCCGGGATGGCAGTGCCGTTAGTGAGCTCCTGTGGGCACGCGGCGTAAAACTTGGTGAGAGCGGTACGGATGCTCGCTTCTGAGCAGGGATTGGAGCTGGCACAGAGGGTGGAGAGTGCACTGTTCACGTCACCGGAGCTGCTGGATCCAGTTGCGAATGCGGAGGTGGCAGAGTTGATTGCGCTTGTGCAGCTACTCAGGCTGGAGTCACTGTCAAGTGCCTTCATATACGCGCCGCATGCCGTGCTGAGGCCAGCGGGGGCCGTCTAAAAGGTTGTTTGAGCACGTCGTACAAGGACACACAAATAGAAACGACTCACGAAAGCCCAGGCAGCAGACGCAAAGAGGGAAATTAGCGCAAAAGACTTCATCGCAGGCAATTTTACTGTAGCGAGAAAGAGTGGACGAGTTGTTTAGTGTCGACGACGACGACTGGGAGGGAGAAAAGGACGTTGAGGTTGGGAAAAGAGCAGCCTTTGTCGATGGGGGAACGGGGACAACCAGTCTAGGCGTTAGCAACAAACAATCAAAAGGGGCGCGACAAACATATCCAAACAAACTATGTGGCTGGCGCACCCCGGCCAGAATTGCCCTTACTGCTTAGCGTCGTTTTAGGTCGTCGGCGAAAGCCAATAATGAGAGTTCCATACGTATGAGCACTGGACTCTTCATGTACAAGTACGTGATACAATTGTTTTCTTTCCTAGTAAACTGCTACATGGTAATCATCCTACGTCCGCGCCCAGTCGAATATAATACATTTTTACAATTCTGCACATAGATGTCAGCCACCAAATTCTATAGTCAACAACTCTGAGGAACGTACTCTGCATGGCAGCAACGTCCGTACTCTGGATGTAGTCCTCGAAGTCTGACTGAAGCTTCTCCTGGAGCTCATCAAGAGAGACCAGCTCGTCCTCTATAAAAAATTGTCATCAGCCTTTCAGTGCCAATAACAAGCATGAGACTGACGTACCAACGACGAGAGTGATCTGGAGCTTCTTAATACCATAACCAATCGGCACCCACTTGCTAGCACCCCAGACGAGACCATCCTGCTCAACCGAGCGGACAGACTTCTCGAGCTCAGCCAAGTCAGTCTCATCATCCCAGGGCTTGACCTCAAGGGTAACAACAGACTACAAACTCATCATGAGAATTTCGATAATCTGTGCCAATCGAAATATTCAACGAACCTTGGCAGCAACCTTGGGCTTGTTAGCCTTCTTCGCGTTGTAGGCAGCAACACGCTCAGCCTTGATACGCTCAGCCTCGGCGTCCTCCTCGTCATCAGAGCCAAACAGATCAATCTCGTCATCGTCCTCCTCCTCCTCCTTCTCGGCAGCGGGGGCAGCGCCGGATCCAATGAACGCCTCACCAGCAGTGCTCGATCCAGGGAGAGAACCGAACTCGGACTCGTAAGACTTGATGTGCTTGTACCAGCGGCTCACGCTGGTGAGAGTAGCCTCAGGCTGAGAGGTGATGGCCTTGAAGACAGCGACATCGGCCTGGGAGGGAGTGTATCTGGCATCGAGGAGGTTTTTGGGTTAGCTTTTTTTTCGAGTTCATTTAAAGCAGAGGCAATAGAATGAGTTTGGAGAGATCAGAGAGCTAGGTAAAGGTGGTATCTGCATGCTTGAGCAGCGGTGTCTAGTCGCTTCTTGGAAACACGGACCATAGCGTTATGTTCATCATATCAGGTTTTTTTAAAAAAAAATAAAGTGCACTTAAAAGAATCAAGTTAGACAAAGAACTCACCCTTCGACGTAAGAACGGGTAGCGAGGTGAGCCTCGAGCTTGGCAAAGTCGACAGACATAGTTTAGGAGGAAAGGTGTGAGGAGGGAGTTATGGTATGAGTTTGGTTGGATATCGATGGATGAGACAGCCAGACTCTCTTCAATTTTTTATGATCATGTCCGGGTTTAGGGCAGGGCAAGATCAACTTGGCGCTCATTTCTGCTCATCGTTGAAGGAGGCTGAGGAATCGGTCTCAGACAAAACAACTTTCCATATTTCGAGTGAGAATTGAGAAAAGTCAAGGGAAAAGGCAGCACAGTGCATAGGGACATACAGAATCATACAATAGCAGTCTTTCCTGAAGAACCAGCTGATCCGTCTATAAATCACTAAGATAGCAAACAATTCTCAGATTCGTGTTTTCGAAGTAGCTGATATGGCCGAGTCGTTAAGGCGAGTGATTTGAATCTGATTCAACTATCACTTGGGCATTGCCCGCGTAGGTTCAAATCCTGCTGTCAGCGATTCCCAAGCCTGGAATTCCTCCACGCTTCCCTTTTTTCGACACTTACCATCGACGTCCCTTCACATGAGACAAAACTGGCTGCTGGATTCATGGGTTTGTTCAAATAGCTTGATAATACTCTAGAGTCAAGGCCCATGAGCATGAGGATATAAATATTTTAAAAAAAAAACTAAATCAATCAATAAATTAGATTAAGTACGAGAAGTCGTAGAGTGACTGCAAGGTTTAGTAAAAGAAAGAATAGATGACTCGGTAATGAACAGACAAGAAAGAAAGAAAAGAGTTCCGACTAACCAGCTAAAAAGATATACGAAATGATACTACAATAGATCGAGCAATAAAGATCAAAAGCTACCATGAAAACGTTGATTAGTAGATGTTGAACGGAAACGAGGAGGAAGAGCGGAACACGCACTTACAAGAGAGCTAGTTAATACAGTAGTATAAAGAATGAACCGGTAAACAAACTCAGAGCAAGTCTGCGTTGCGCAGCTGTGATCGCAAAATGCTCTCTCCGACTGTAGATATCAAAGTTAGTCAACGTTTCTAATGGTGTAGGTAGAGGAAATGTACTGACCTACGCCGAGCGTAAGCGCAGTAGCATGCGTGTCCTGTATTGCATCAACATGAGTGAGAATCGTCGTTACACGAATCTAAATTGGGGCACGTACCACAACAGAGGTGAGATGGACCCTAAAAGGTCTGGCGGGGACAGAATTCTGTCGGGCAATTTCCTTGAAATGTTGTGCAAAGTCTGCTTATGTCAGCCTCTAGGGAAGAATAGTGAGGCAGAGGAAACACAAGTTGCAACTTACATTGAGCAACAGTGGGCAAGTCGTTTTTTCGATCCCCAAAACTGGGAACGTAGTCCTTGACCCGAATCCCGCTCTTCAGCTTCTTATCAACTACCCATCCCGTCAGTAGATTATAAACCAAAAAACAGGAGAGCAAACCACGCACGTAAATCACACTTGTTCAAAAACAATATAATCTGCGCCTTGGATAACAGTTTGCACGAGCAGATCATCCGCCACAGCTGGTAACTATCTTCCAGCCTATTGACTTTCCGGTCTTCTGCCAGTTTCTCATCGAAGCAGCTGATCGGGGCGAGGAATATGATGGCGTCACAGTCGTCAAAGTACGGGAACCATGCGGGGCGCTGTAGCGAAGTAGTGTCAGCGGCGCATTGTCAGACTCCTTAGATATGAAGGTAACGCGTACCTGTGTCCGCGAGCCACCAACGTCGTAGAGACACCATTCGAGGCCGGCAGCAGGGCCTATGGACGATAATGTTTAGTACGGGGATAAATGTACCGACGGTAGAGTACCGCACCAGTCTCGAATAATATCCTGTGTTCCTGCACGCCAAGCGTCCTCAACCTCGCACGTACAACATCATCGTCAGACGGCGTATAATCCCTCCTCGCAATGCGAGACACGTCTTGCAAGAAACTGAACCAACAGTCAGGAGCCTCCCACACTTTTGAAAAATTACGACAACTCACAAACCAGGCATGAGATCCAACCTCAGCCGCCGCCTCTTCAACATCTCCTGAATTACACTATCTTCCCACAACGCCTGCATATCTTCCTTACAACTTGCAATAATCTCCGACGTCTCAGCTTCATCGCCTCCTTTTCTCCTCAACGTTGCATCACTCGGTCTCCTCGCATGTCCCTGCCCCTGACCAGCACCACCACCATTATCCTTC